GTGGGCTTGGAAGTAGGGCGCCAGTATGCGCATGGTGATTATCAGAGCATAGACGGTTTTCTCCAAAGGCGTATATCGCGCTTCGGCTGCTTTCAAAGAACGACTCACGTAATATACCGGGTGCTGAGCACGTTCTTCCTCTCGGACAAGTACCAAACTCACCGCCTTCGAGGATGCCGCCAGGTATAACAACAATGGCTCACCGACTTGGGGGGTGGACAACACCGGATGTGTGGAAAGATATCTTTTCAACTCATCGAACGACTGCTGGCACTCGGCTGTCCACACGAAGCCCTCCTTCTTCTTCATAGCCTCAAAAAAGGGCACAGTCTTGTCCGCCGATTTGCTTAGAAATCGGCTAAGGGCAGCCAGCCGACCGGTCAACCGCTGAAGGTCCTTAACAGTACTCGGAGGCTGCATGTCCATGATTGCCTGCACCTTCTCCGGGTTGGGCTCGATGCCGCTTTTTGTCACCATATATCCCAAAAACTTCCCCCCTTGTACGGCGAAGACGCACTTCTTCGGATTGAGTCTTAAATTGTATTTAAGCATTATCTGGAAGCAGTCGGCCAAGTCTTTAGCATGATTAATTTCCTCCCGGCTCTTCACTAGCATGTCGTCTACGTATGCTGCCATTGGTTTTCCCAATAAGTCCTGGAACAGCCGGGCGACCATTCGTGTGTACGCAGCTCCCGCATTCTTGAGTTCGAATGGAATGACTCGGTAACAATACACCCCATACGGGGATCGGCCTTGTGCATGAAGATCTGATGGTATCCCCGGAAGGCGTCCATGAAACTTAGCAAGGCTGACCCCGCCGTTTCGTCGACCAACTGATCGATCCGAGGCAGCGGAAATGGGTCCTTCGGACAAGCCATGTTAAGGTCGATATAATCCACACACATTCGCCAAGCCGGGGGTTTCGACACGAGTACCACGTTAGCCATCCATTCTGGGTACTTGACTTCTCGGACATGACCCGCGGCTAACAGCGTGCTTACCTCTTTCTTCACGAATTCCCTTCTGTCGTTGGCTAGATATCGCTTCTTTTGGATCACCGGTCGATGGTCGGGGTCGAAAGCGAGCCGATGAGCAATGATAGATCGGTCAACTCCCGGCATATCCTCTGGCTCCCATGCAAAGACTAACCGGTTCTCCCGAAGCACCTTTATGACCCCTTCTCGCACCTCCTCTTGGAGGCCGACTCCAATTCAGACTATTCTTTCTGGTTGCTCGGGGTCGATTTCAATATCTTCCAATTCGGCGGCCGACTCCGGGCGGGGTATCATTGCCTTCTTTGGAGGTCGTTCTGTGATCTCATGGACCTGCATTTCACGCTTCCCCATGCCCTTGCAAGCTTGCAAATAACAATCACGGGCGACTCTTCTGTCACAGCGGGCCGTGACAATCCTGTTCGGCGTGCGGAACTTCAAGCAGAGATGCTCAATGGAGATCAATGCTCCCAGATCTTCCAAGCCTGGTCGGCCAAGTATTGCGTTGTGCGAACAGGTCAAGTCGACCACAATGAATTTCATGTCCAGCTTTTGTACGTCGGGATAGCTGCCGATTTCTACTGGCAACGTGATTGACCCTTCCGCCTCCAATGAGTCGCCCGTGAAGCCGGCGAGGGGCGTCTTAACTGGGATCAACTGTTCTCGTGTTAGACCCATCTTGGTGAAGGTCTCGAGGTACAAGACGTTGACACTGCTCCCGGTATCTACCAGGATTCGCCGAACAACTACCCCATTCACGTCCATTACGATGACCAGTGCGTCACGGTGTGGTGTTTCCCCTGTGGGTAGATCCTTGTCAGTAAAGACAGTAGGCTCTCGACAGGCTTTCTTCGAGCCACCTTCTCGTCCGTACACGGTCCCAACATATAATTGCCGGGCCCAGGCTTTCCTGATATTCGCCGAGTCGCCTCCCTCTGTTCCGCCGACTATCATATTGATAACCGGCTTCTGCCGCCACTGGGCCTCGTCTTTGTCAGTCGCCGGCTGCTTGCCACAACTGTAACGCCCCGTGTTACGGCCCCTAAAATAAAATGAATTAAATTATCACCCACCCTAAAAAGGGAATTAAAACACATTAATTAGCCAAAAAGGGGGTCCACCATTGTCCATGGGCCCTTATCCCTAAAGCCAACCCCTTAGTCCTATAAGGAATAGGATTAGTGAACCCATGCCACTTAGACCATAATTACGACACTTAATTATATAAATAGGGACATAGAAGGCACCTAGAACTCACACCACAAATAATCCCTCACCACACAAGAAAGTTCCAAGAACTCCCTTAGGAGAAATCAAGAAAGGAGAAATCCTAAAGAAAGACCCTTCATAGCCAAGGAAATTAATTAAGGCTAAGAGGTAACCCATGTCTCAACAAAACCTATTTTCTTCGCTATAATCTCCTTCCTTGGCCTCCCTCTATATTATTGTGTCTTGATTGAATTCTTCTATGATAATTACGTTATGTTCTTGATGATTGATAAGATGATTTATATGCTTTCTTGATAATCTTGATGATCTTAATGTTAAGAGGAAGTTCTTGATTATGATGTGATGATTCTTGACGAATCTTGATATTTTCTTGATGTTAAAGATTAAATATGTTCTTGGTGATTTGGGTGGGATTAGAGCCCTAGGTTGGATTGGAAATTTGTATTGTGATGTTCTTGATTTGTATTTGGGTGGGAATTTGCATGTTCGGGTGTTGTTTACATTTAGAAGTCATAATAGGATAAGTCCTACATGATTCTTGCTTTTGATCCGTTGATTGCTTACGTGGTGTCGTTATTTGCGTTCAAAAGTGTCTAAGCATGGTTTCGGGTTCCACAAAGGTCCCTAGGACGAATATATGAGAAAAGAGTCAGTGGGGGGTAGGTGGGGGTGGGGGAATCCACCACCAACCCGCTGCCCAAAGGGGCGCTGCCCGGTAGCGGGCAGCCGGCTACCCGCCGGCTACCCGCTGCCCGGAACAGCGCCCACCGGCTACCCGCTGGTCCACACCCCACCCCGGGTCCCTGGCTTCCCCATTTGATGTTCCCCGTCCCCCATGGTGTCCCAACAGACCCCGTTTGTCGTGCCTGAGTCTAGTTTGGAATTTCAGGTACCATTCGTAGGTTAAACGAGTCTTAGGGATTGCATGGTAGTTGAATTGGTAACCCGTGGACCTAGGTGGAAGTTATATGAGCCCTTAGGAACTATTCTTAGTATGTTAATGAGCACATGTAAGTTTAATTATACGTCTCCCCCTTCCCTATGTTAATTATGTGCTATTATGTGTTACGTGATGCATGACCCCAACTTGGTTAAGATCAATTGGGCTATACAGGCAGTTGAATGGGCTGAGAACCATCCCAACTGTTAACTAGGCCGGTTAAGATTGGTCAGGGATATTATTATAGGACTAAGGTCCACTATACGGGCAGTTGAATGGGTTGAGAACCATCCCAACTATTAACCAGGCTGGTAGAGACCGGTCAGGTATATAAAGATTATGTATAGGACTGAAGGTCCACATGGGCCTCGGTGATATGACCCACCGACCGGGACGCGCCAGGCGGTATGGGGCCAACAAGCCGAGGAAGGTTGTAGTCCACCGACCTGAGTAATCAGGCGGTGTGTAGGGCTACGACTGGCTGCGACCCACCGAGTGGTGGGACATCGGTATGTAGGACCGTAGTCTCCGAGGATCTTTGCCCACCGACTGAGTTTAGCTCAGCGGTGTGTCGGGCTTGATCCGCTACGGCCCACCGATTGTGCGCATCAACGGTGTGTTGGGTCGTAAGTCCCCCCTTGTAAAGGGGATCGCGGTCCACTGACTGGGCGCGTCAGCGGTGTGTCAGATCGTGGTCCTACGTTGAGTTCGTAAGCGGTTCTCAAAGGGTTGGTTGCGATCAACTCCCCTCGTACCGCGGTACTGAGGTAGGGTGCTGCGGGGCCATGTTAATGCTATAGGCATTAACCCTCATGTTCGGGGCATGCGATTGGTCCCGTGGCGCCATCAATGATTATGTGATATGAATGATGATTGAATGATGATGTGGATTGGAATTGAGGAGTGGTTTGTGACCGTAAATGCGTATTCCTTGTAATGTTATTTCTACTTTACTGCTTATTGTTGTCTGATGTGCTTGTCCCTAACTGCGGAGTCTATTCCTGGTTTTAAAACTAGTGTCTCTTAAGTATATATCTTCCTGCTTCGAAATGATTTTTGTATATATATATATATATATATATATATATATATATATATATATATATATATACCTATCTATACTATATTTCAACACGTTGGAGTGGGTTACGAACATCTCTCGCTGAACAGATATATTTGGCTTTCAGGCACAGATGAGTAGACACTGGAGCGCGCTAGAGACTTGGAGCGTAGAGTAGATAGTTTCCCTTTCGGTCTGCGTGCCATGCTTATGTATTTACATTATGGAGGATATTAGTTAGTTAGCCTGTGCACCTGAGTTCTCTAGCTCAGGTGTGGCATAACACCCCGTACTCTTTTATATTATGTTTTGGGATTTAATGCGAATCTACCTTTATTATATAAGTCTTAAAAGTTGAAAAATTTCGGGGTGGTACAACAACTGCCCTCGGCTGTTCCAGCAGAGTCGCCGTCTTCCAGGGCTGCCGATCTTCGTCGCCATTGGTTGGGAGGCGGGGTCCCTTGTTGGATAATTCCCTCCATGATCTTCTTGAGGTAATAACATTCTTCAGTGTTGTGGGTGTATGCTTTATGATAACGGCAATATTTAGACATTTTACCAGGATCCTCATTCGTCGTATGCTCCTCGATCGGGGGAGGCAGAGGAGGCGCGACTGCTCGCACTTCCTGTACTGGATGCGAGGGAGTCGGCCTATAAGGGTGGATGCTGGGCCTATCATATGGGCGCCGTGCTTCAGGTCGCCTAGTCGGTTCCGGGGGGGCTTTTCTTTAGTTTCCGCGCGGGTTCTCTTCCCATTAGCGGATCCTCCGACCTCCCGCTATCGCTTGTGCTTCATGGCCTGCTTGTTAGCCATATGTATGGCCTCCGCGTAGGTGGCCGGCCGGTTGTCCCGTAGATCACGATACAGCTGTCCGGATCGCAAAGATTCGATGAAGAAGGTGAGGGCGGTCTGGTCCTCAACTTCTTCGATAGACTGGATCTCTTTTTGCCACCGGGCCAAGTAAGTTTTGAGGGATTCGCCTTCCTCTTGATGAACGTCCCCCAGATGAGTCAGATCCTTTTGTGGCTTGATGTTGGCCGCGTAGTGACTCATGAAGCGGTCGACCAGCTCTTCAAAGTTGCGTATTGATCCTTGGGGCAGAGCCACCAACCATCTTTGCGCCGGCCCCTTTAGTGTCGGTAGAAAAGCGCGACACATGACAGGGTCTCGGACTCCTAAAACCTACATCTTAGCCTGATAACTTAAAAGGTGCTCTCGCGGATCACCGGATCCGTCAAAGGTGGCCTGTTCCGAGAATTTGAAGTCGCCGGGTACTTTGTAAGACATGATCTCGGATGAGAAAGGTAAGGCAGTGAGCAACGTTCGTCCAGGGGACTTGGTCCTTCCTTCCATTTGCTCCCTCAGGTTTCGCACTTCTTGAGCCAGGTGAGCCACATCGTCGCCGTTTCGCGTGTGGTTTCCAGTGGACTCCGTGCTTTCGCCGGCTTCCAACTCGGCTTGCTGGTCATCGTTGCGTGTAGGTCGCTCGGACCGTCATGCCCGAGTCCTGGTCCTTCTAGTACGGGCTTTTTCTCAGACGGCCTCTCGATTTCGTGGACCCGCCGGTGCGCGACTGGGCTCTCTCTCTCCCAGCCGTTCTCTCGCTGATGGGCGCGCGGTATTCGGACCGAGCCTGGAATGGACTGATCGCACCGGTACGCTCTCTGCTCGCCGATCTCTTCGCCTGCCTTCTTCAAATCTTTGGGGCGGTTGTTGATTGCGGGGCAGCGGTCGCGAGGCCGACTGCTCTCCCATTCCCCGATTTTCTGCAACGATAGCTCGCCCTATGGCTCGAAGTTGCTCGAGGGTGAGGGGTATCATTGGTGGTGGCCGATTCAAGGGCGCCTGTAACACCCCAGATTTTCAAGACATTTTGAACTTATATAACAAGGATAACATCTCATTAAATCCCAAAGTATAACATAAGCGTACGGGGTGCTATGCCACACCTGGGCTAGAGAACCCAGGTGCACAGGCTATCTAACTAATATCCTCCGAAATATAAATGCATAACATGGCACGCAGGCTGAAAGGGAAACTACTCTACTTCTACGCTCCAGTCTAGCGCGCTCTAGTGCTCTAATCCTCTGTGCCTGAAAGCCAAATATATCTGTTCAGCGAGAGATGCTGGTAACCCACTCCAACGCGTTGAAATACAATACATATAGATATACGAAAACCATTTTGAGCATGAAGATATATCCTACGAACTCTAGCTTTTAAAACCGGGAATGACTCGACAGATAAGGCTAGACACAAGCAACAGTTATAACAAGCGTATACAATCCACATCAGGCAAGACAGATAGAGCTGAGCACAATTAATAATCATAACCCAACATAAACAATCCCCAGCATAAATCCCATAGTCACATCCCCCAAGATACTCATAATCGCAACTCATCCATATCTCATCACATAGCACACTTTGTTGGCGCCACAGGACCAATCGCATGCCCATACATGAGGGTCAGCGCATATAGCTCTGACACGGCCCCGCAGCACCCTGCCCCGTATCGCAACACGGAGGGGTCGATCGCAACCGACCGATGAACCGCAGCTCATCATAATGTTTGATCGCAACCAAACAGTGGACCGCAGCCCAAGAGTATGTCATCTGACCACAGCCAGGAAAGTATGAACCGCAGCTCATGTAGAAACGTTTGATCGCAACCAAACGGTAGACCGCAGCCCAAGAGTGTAAATCTGACCGCAGCCAGCTTCTGAACCGCAGCTCAAGAATAACCAATCCGATCGCAACCGAATTGGGGTGTCATGCACACATAACACATAGCAAGCACATGCAACCCACATTAACACATTGGGAAGGGGAGAAAGCGTATAACAAAACCTATGCGTGATCATTTACATACTAAGAATGGTCCTAAGGGGTTCATACTTCTTCCACCTAGGTCAACGGGATACCAATTCAACTAGCATGCAATATATAAGACTCATAAACCTACGAACGGTACCCGAAACATCAAACTAGACACGGCACGATGAACGGAGTCCGTTGGGACACCACGGGGATCGGGGAAACATCAAATGGGGAAGTCGGGGTCCCGAATGGGGGAGATTTCCAGCGGGTAGCCGGTGGGTGGGGGGCCACCCGCCGGCTGCCCGCCGGTGAGCACTGTTCCCTGCAGCGGGTCACCGCCGGGCAGCTGCCCGCCCGCCGGCTGCCCGCTGCCGGAGACGTCCCTTCTGGCCGCGGGTAGGTGGCGGGTCCCCTACCCCCCACTGACTCTTAACACACAAACGCTCCGGGAACCATTGTGGAACCCGAAACCATGCTTAGACACTTTACAACGCAATTAACGATCAACACGTAGACAATTAACAGATCAAATACGAGAAACGTACGGCACATAACCTATCATGCTTTTCTAAACATAATCGACACCCAAACATGCGATTTCCCCACCCGATACACCAAGAATAATATCATATGATACGACCTAGGGTTCTAATCACTTTTATACTAATAAGAATACGATTCGTCTTCTAATTACAAGATTCGGTAAGAATATCACATAAGCATCAAGAACATCACACAAGCATCAAGAACGCCAGCAAGAACATCAACCTAGGGTTCTAATTACTTTTACATCACAAGAATACGGTTCGTCTTCTAATTACAAGATTCGGTACAAATAACACATAAGCATCAAGAACGCCACACAATTATCAAGAACAACGTATAATCATCAAGAACTCCACGTAATCATCAAGAACACCATAATTATCAAGAATCTCCCAATATCAAGATCACCCATGGAATTATCCCATCAATCATCAATAATAACATCACAAATCATCAATACACAATAATATGGGGAAATCCTACGGGGGAAATCATAGCTATGAAAATAGGTTTTGTTGAGACATGGGTTACCTCTTAGCCTTAATTAATTCCTTGGCTATGAATGATCTTTCTTTAAGCTTTCTTGCTTTCTTGATTTCTCCTAAGGGAATTCTTGGAACTCTTTGGATGGTGGGAGATTATTGTGGTGGGAATTCTAGGTGCCTACTAAGTTCCCTATTTATATACCTAGGGGTCTTATTTTGGGGTCTAATCCTTTTGGGATTATGGGTTGGGTTTAGAGATGAGGGCCCACGGACTATGGTGGGCCTTTTTCCCTAATTAATCATTATAATTTATCTTTTCTCTTGGGCTATTGATTAATTAATTAATTGGTTTTGGGGGTCGTAACACGGGGTGTTACACTCTCCCACCCTTACAAGGGGCTTCGTCCCCGAAGCCCGGTGTGATAGCCCATCCTTTCACCCCTAGACATCTCGTACCTCGGCCTCCTGATTAGGAATGCGGCCCTACGTTTGCCTTGGCTCGGGGTAGGCTGAACTTTTGGGGGTGTTGTGATAGAGGAGTTCCGGGTGTACCTCGGTTTCCTGCGCTGGAACTGGATGTCCCACGAGTGCCCAAGGCGGCCTCGATCGCTGCTACCCTCTGATCGAGTGCGCGCGTGGTGCGAATCAAGGATGAGAGCCCTTCTTCCATGATTTGGTTCTGTCGGTTCAGTTGTGCGAGAATGCGCTCATTGACCGAACCGTTTTGTCCCCTCGGGTCCCCTCCTGACCGTGGGTGCACTGACGGGTTAGGCCCGTCATCCTCCTCCTGTTCCTCATTTCCCTCCGAGCCCCCACAATCTTGCATGGCTCGCTTGAGCTTCTTGTTGGAGATGTCCAGCCGGTCAACCAATTATCTCCGCTCTTCCTCGGGATTTTGGCAAATTTCTTCGAGGGTGAGGTAATGTCCCCCTTCGGTGTAGTAGATGTCGTTGCGGTGGAGGTTTTGGGCATTGAAAACCATGCCATTGGCGGTCTTGACCTCGGTGTGGCTTAGGTCCACCCCTTTCTTTTCCATGATCCAACTTAGGATCATCCCGTAGGGTAGACTAAGCCGGTTGTTTGTCTTGCAGAATTCCATGTGCTTTAGCATGAGTGCCGGCAGGTTGAACTTGATTTTATGTTTCAAGAGATAAGCAAAGGTGCACTCTAGGCTCCCTACGTCCTTGCTTTTATTATTGGTGGGCAAGAGGCTATCAGTTACAATCATAACCAATATCTTTTGCTCCGCCGATAGCCACTTCCGGTTTGGCCGGGTGGCCGAGGTGAACCCGTCCTCCTTCCCGAGTAGGTACCCGAGGTAATCCTTGTATCCCGTAGTTTGGGTATCAATCCACCCCTTTCGGTCATAGTTAGACACACCCGTGGTGGTCAATTTCAAGAGCTTGGCCAACCGGCCCTCGGAAAGCACAATTTCCTTACCACGGACCTTGGTGGTGATTTCTACCTTGTCACCTCGTTTGGTGGCCACAAGGTGTTGGTAGAATTCTTTCACCAAGTCGGGGTATGTATCCCCTTTGATGGCGAGGTAAGTGTCTAAGAGCCCTTGATGTTTAAGCATGTCAACCAATTCTGGAGAGAATTGGTCGGGTTCAAGTGCTTTACCTCCGATTACGGTGTAATCGGCATTGCTCCACTCCGGGGTGCGAATTCCGAGGGGTTTCTTTGGCATTCTGGTGCTCGTTTGTTGGTGACGTTTTCTGGCGATTCCTTTTCCGGCGAGATGGCGGTGGTTTTCCGGCGAGTTTTCCGGTGAATTCCCGGTGGCGGTTTTTCTTTGTTTTCGCGGGAGACGACGGCGAGCGGTGTTCTGGCGTCGGTCCGGCGAGGGGAGGCGACGGCGTGCTGGTGGCGGCAGCCTTGTGCGTTCGACGTTGCGTGGCAGCGGGTTGCTGCCGGGTGCGTCGTGGGCGACGGGGGCGGTCCGCTGGGGCGGTGGCGCGACGGCGTGGCGCTGGCGGGCGGTGTTCGGCCGGCGGTGGAGATTCGTTGCCGGTGGCGTTGGGTGTTCGCCGGGTTCTTTGGGTGGGGCGGTGTGGTGTGAGAGGGAGAAGGAAATAATGGGGAAGGAGAAGGGGAGGAAGAAGAAGAAGAAGGAGAAGGGTTTTTGATTTGGGGGTTTTGGTGGGTTTTTAGGGATTTGGAGGGGTTTAACAAGGGGGTGTTCCCTTGTGGTTTCAAGAATCACTCATGGGTTAGTGGTTAGGGCTTTAACTTGTAGAGGAGAGGTCCAAGGTTCTATTCCTAATGGTAACATTAAATATTTATTAATGGTGTGGTCCTTGTCTT